ATGAAATAGTTTAGAAACTGAAATATACGATACTTTTGATGAGTAATATAACAAATCGCTCTAATTGTAAGTTATATATAATCGATTGATTAGTTTCTCTCTTCAAACAAATAAAATATCACGAACTTGTTGCTCGAGAAATGTTGTGCGAGACGAAGCAGGTTTTGTTACAAAACATTGGACAGTTACAATCAATTTGTACATTTTATGTAACTTTCTTTTTGTTATTCAAATTGTGCCGACTCATCACTTTCATTTTAATCAGAAGATTAAAGTCTGAAAATGGCTTTGTTTTTTTGCAATGGTATGAATATTTATATACATTCTGGAAATCAATTTCCTTAATTGAAGACATCCACCTAACAATAAAACAATTTTAAAAGTAATAATGAATATTTATTCGAATATATAAGGCTGATAATGATAATAAAGTCAATCAATTTTGCCAAGTTTCTTTTTTTTAATTACTGCAAATTCTTTATGAATACTACTTTTATTTATTAAATTAATCAAAATTGATAAAAAAACATTTCTCTCTCTCTCTCTCTCTCTCTCTCTCTAAGTGATCTTTTAATATTGTTTATAAAATATTGCTTCTAAAATTGTTTGAAATATGATTTATGATCGTTGTTGATTAATTTTTAAAACTTAAAAATGCTTATTATTATTACCGCTAAGACAGATTTGAGAAATATAAAATTGTTGCATTTAAATGAGAGAAGAGAGGCGAGACACTCAAAGCACAGTTGCCCACGCAATGGTTCTCCTAACAAGTAAGAAGTCGCATCGGACTAGAGGATTAACCTATATCACTCTTAGTCCCTGAAGTACAATCCTACGGAAATATACACAGTCGAGCTTTTGGTACTTTACGATTTTATGATCTGTCGTGCGAACTGTTTATAGTAAATCATTGGTGAAACTAAAATAAAAATAAAAATAAAAATCACAAAAAAAGGACTCATATCAGAACAAGCCTGTCTCCAAAAGTAAACTTATGTATCGGATATTTCCGTATCATCTCCAGAAATGTTTCGCAATTTTATATTGACGTGAAAATAACGTATTATATATATTAGTTATTTTAAAGCGTATTTTTTATGGCATTCTAAATATATATTTTTTAAATACAAACATGCATTATGAAAAGTTATGACAATTAATAAACGGGTTTTTTATGAATTCGTAAATATTATATAATGATACTGTATATAAGTAACAATACAATGAGCTTGTTCTTTAATATTAAATCGAAATGTTTTGCGAAATTTGGATTAAAAGACCCTTTCTTTCAATAAGCAGGAAATATTAAATTAACAAAGATTCATTACAAAGTTACGATACATAAATTTTATGTAAAGTATTATCGCTTTTACGTCATTGTGTGCTTGTTAGCTGTATAAAATGAAACGTTTACCCGCATTACTTTTCGAAATAATTTGAATATCGATCCACGACATCTCTCTCTCTCTCTCTCTGTCTCTCTCTCTCTCTCTCTTTCTCACCCGCTTTCGCATAATGTTTTTGCAATACCCGCACGCAAAATTTACATCTTCGCAGCGAAGAAAAGACATCGTATAGAATTTTTCGCTCATGTTCTGTATATAATGAAATAAAAATACTTCGATATTCATGGGACAAGATTTATTCGCCTGACAAATCCTTCGTTAACATCGTCTATAATTAAAACACAGCGATGGAATATTTTGATGGGAACGATGCAACCTGTATAAATCTCTCTAAGCTAGATCAGTTCTATGGACTTGGAACGCACAATTTGATTATGATGATGAAATCATAACGATATTACCGCTTATCCTCTTTTATGCTTTTGCAGTTTTGCAATTATCATATGATGTTAATTTCCGTGTCGTATATATAGAAATATTTTTTAACTATACAAAAGATGCATTGTAAAAATTATTTCGTTATGTAAAATTAAATGCTATATAATAATGTTTGATGATCTTTGATAGTAATAATTAATAATTATAGAGCTGTAAAAAATATTTCATCAAAATTATTGATTGATGAAAAATTATATTAAATTTTTTAATCGAATAGCAAGTGATTTTCTCTCATTCATATAAATTTTATTTCAAGTAATTTTAATACATACATTAATATATTATTTTCGTATAAATAACATTTATATAATATACACACAATAATGAAAATCGCATAATTTGAATTATGCATACGCGATATAAAAATTATATAAAGTATATTTTTTTAATAGAATAAAATAAAAAGTTATAAAAATTTATATGAAAATTTAAATCTGTCATCTCAGTACATTAGTTGCATTTATTATAAAATTAGTATTTAATTATACAGCAAAATGTAAAAGTTGCAACTTATAAAATTCTAATCAGTGTATCACATAATATAAATATTGTATTTTTCATGTATTAAGAAATATTTAACACATTTTATGCCATCAATGTGTGACTTGAAAACTATTGAATAGCTTTGGTATAGGAAAAAGAAGATTGCGGACGTCCGAGAATTCTTGTAATTTCTTCTCTCGATCCGGAGAATTCCCGGATGATAAATTCTGGAGTTTCATAGGTCGAACAACACTGTTGCGAAGATTGGAACGAGAGAATCATTTGTCTTTGCAGACACATATTGACGAGACATTATAGATATTGCGTTTGATTTTTTGTTCTTCTCTTTTCTTTTAAATAATCTTCTAAACAATCTTCAAAAAATTATTATCTATTTTTTCAAGATTGTTTGAAAGATAATTATAGAAAAAATCCAAATACATTATAATAAATAAATATATATATATATTTTATTTTTATATATTACATATGTTTATTTTTATACATGACATATTTTATAATATACCATATAATAAAAAGAAATACATATATAATAAAAATAAACGTGAATCTAACAAAAGTTGAAAATATTTACATATAAAAGCAAGCTCTGTTGTAGAATTGATCAGAAAATATTCATTGACAATTGGGAAAAACGTTAGTGGACGATTCAATAATATTAGTGATATTTTTAGTTTGTCGCGTAGCAGTTATCACGATACTATCGATCGTTTCTCTTCCTAGTAAAGATAGCAGACTCATGTTCGCGTATATTAGACGAGTTATCTCAATGGGAAATTACGTTATTGATTCATGATAAATGTCGATAAAATCCGGTTTACGTGTTTATTCAGGACAGAACGAGCTGTTCTGAGCGATATTGAAAAATGTAATGTGTGTGTGTGTGTCGCTTTCCTATAAGAGAAAAGAAAAAACGCCTACGAGCAACGTCCCCAGATGTATCTCTTTTCGATATTAAGATCATCATGCTTTGTGGATTAATAAAGAATGAGGATTTAAAACGTAGTTGAGATTTTGTGATAAAGATTAATAACGGAATAACGAAGTTTTTATGAGGTGAAAGAATCTATCAGTTTAGTCTGGAGATATTTTATGATAAAAAAAATGCAATATTATGCACTTATAAAATAATATAAATTTATTATTTTACACATTATTATAATGTATACAGAATAATTGTTATATATATATATATATATATATATATATGTATACACATAAATATCTCAAATACATATATGTATATATTATGGACACAATAGTCGATGAAAACTTCAAGATGAAGAATATTTCAGTCACATTGCGCTTTATCTGACTTTGCACTCTCTGTAATATTTTACATGACCGCGGTTTTTTCTTTTATTCTCCGAATAAATTTTAGATCCCGACAAATGTAAAGACAGAGGATAGACAAGAGACGAGGGTCTGCTTTCAGTGTTTCTATGGGACTCTTGATTGCTTCCTTAATCAGTGCCTGGCCCTCCAGCCGAAGAGTAGTGTGGAGGTGATCGCAGGATAAAAAGAGGCTCTCATACAAAAACGTGCTACGTTTTATACGTTGAACACGTACATTCGATTATTTAGGATGGCAGCTTAAGCCATCTCCCTGTGCTGCGGCTATTCAATAAACTTCGTAACAGCACAAAAGATTAACGACGTAAAGCGAAAGAAAGATCGCCTAAAGCGCTGTTTCGTGGCTTATACTTGGCGGGAAATGAATTTACCGTGGGGCATATATCTCGTAGCAAGATTGCAAGCATACTTGAGTGAATTCTTTGATGTCAGTGCTGTATCATTTTAAAATTAACTGCATTGTAAAGGAAAAGTAGTAATCGGTCATTATTAAATCAACGATCTTACCGACTCTATGTTCTTCGCGTTTTTAAGATTGCATTTTTAATTTATATGTCTTATCTCTGTAAACATACAAAAGTACAATTGAACAACAAATTTTTTAAAAATATTTTAAAAATTATATTTTAAATAGTCTTAAAAAGAATTGTTGATATTAAATACAATAAATTTTAAATTGAATTTGTCTTAATATATCAGTAATATTATTAAACATGTATCGATTGATATTTGATACAATATTTGCGATTAACTAAGCGATTATCGACAATAAAATTCTATTCATTCGTATATCAATTGAATGTACTATGAAAAGACCTACCATTCGCTATAGTGAGTCTTTCTCTCATTACTTTATGATGCAAATATGCATAATCAAAATGAAAACATTGGACACAATATTATAAAGATCGGCATTTTATAAGAAAATATCGACTATATATTTTCCATATCAAAGTCATGTAAAAAATTTAGAGAATATACGTATATATTCATATATCGATTTTTTAATCTTATTTTCGTTCTTTCTTATAAAGTTAATAAAAGTAGAGAAATGACAAAACTCGGTTATTTCAACACATTTTTATTAACTTTTCTTTGCCTGGAGATATTTTCCAATCTTTAATAAGTTTTTGGGGAAAAAATCGGGTCAATGAATAAGAAAAATGAGAAAACTTATAATGCGTATTTTTTGATATAAAAATTAAGAAATTAAAATATTTATTAATCTTCATAATTTTTATGCAGTAGTTGAGAAATGAAGGTTTATGTATTATATGTACAAATTTTTATCGCCAGAAATTCCACGGCACAAATGATGAAAGGCCGTCATCAGTTTCGCCGTCGCTTCAGTTTGCAACCTTCGGCGCATTTAAAAGAAGAACAGGAAGATGGAACAACAAAGAATGCCAGGTAATGAGAAAGAGTTTCTGTCACAATTTTTATCTTTCACTGCGTTCATCAACCTGTAATCATTAATCATTAATTTTAAAGATCGAATCCTTAATTTTAAGACTCAGTCATTCTTCTACTGACTAACTTCAAGTAATAAAAAATTTAAAATCTATTCCCAAGCACAAGATAATATTATTTTTAATATTTTTTTATATTAATCGACATAACTCAATCTATTACATTCATATAAGAATTACTGAAATTGCAATTATAATCAACATATTACAAGTCGTTTTTAAGAAGAAAAGTCTCATGATATGTGATAGAACCAATATTAATCTTTTTATCCCTTTGAAAGAGAAGAGTCATCTTCTCTCCGAACGCGTTCTTTGAAGCAGCATGCAGATACAGTGTGTTCGATTTTCGATATTATATCTGCTCGGTACCTGACTTAAACTTAAAGTCTCAACACGAGATGCTATTCGCGTTCGAAGTAATAAGTCGTAGGCCGGAAAAATTGCTTTCAGCATGAAATCTCTCTTGGGCGCTCGGGTGTTCGATACATCTTGCTTTTTTTCTATACTCTCCTTTTCATTATCATCCATTTCTCGTGACTAGCTCTCAGGTTTTAGTCTGCGTTTTAATTTCGAAGTGAATCTGCGCGAAAAGGATAGCTCGTTTTCCGCTTTTGTATGCCCGATAATAACTATATCTGACTTCTTCTAATAAGCGTAGATGATTACGAAGAGACGAAGATATTTAGAGGTAGCTGCTGCTATTTGGTGCATGTAAAAGCGAAAATACTGTGTATGGCCTCGTCCTTCATAAGAGGCATTCTCTTGCATCGATAGCGCCACGAATTCAGGACACTCTATACAAAACTGTGGTATTCAATAACATGTGTTTCCTCGTATTACGAATCCTTCGCGTTCATTAGCATAGCATTCTCCTCCTTGGATGATTGTCTTTCTTAAACGGAGAATATGGTTATCTCTTCATTTCTGCCATCGTATCGCGGAAGAGATCGTATCGTTTCCGTTAATAACAATATCTTTCATAACAATTCCTCTCGTATTTCATAATATGTGCAGTGATTTATATCTATTAGAGGGATATATTTGAATACACATTGAATGAAAAATGATGACAAGACACTTTCACATCTATCATCATATATTGTATAATATGCTTGAAACTTAACGTTTTAAAATATCGATATTAATGTATCAAAATAAAACGTGAGTCGATAAAAAAGAATATGTTAATGTTTCAGGAACGACAGATTGTCGGAATCGGACAGCGGTGGTGGAAAATCGGCCGAGAGTTCGATTCGGCATAAGATCGTGATGATGGGCGCAGCGAAAGTCGGCAAGTCAGCAATAATTAACCAGTTTCTTTACAGTACATTCACGCCAAAGTACAAGCGCACCGTCGAGGAGATGCATCACGGTGATTTCAATGTTTCCGGGATCCAATTGACTCTCGACATTTTAGACACATCCGGTTCGTATGAGTTTCCAGCAATGAGAGATTTATCGATCAAATCAGCTGATGCCTTCGTTCTGGTTTACGACGTCAACGATTCTAATACGTTTCTCGAGGTGAAGACCCTCAGGGCTCAGATACTCAGCACGAAAGGAGCCGTCCCTATAGTAGTTGTTGGTAACAAGATCGATCTCGTAGAAACGGAGCAGGAGGTGAGTCTTGACGACAATAAGATCATCATCGAGTTCAATTTTTTTTTGGAATTTTCAGAGGATTTTGAACATACATTCTCCGTTTTAAAAAAAGATTATTAAGTAATTAAATAAGATATTATTAAGCAATTAATAAAATATTATTAAGTATTGCATTCACTCAGTTTGAGAAAATTTATCATATTTCTTGAAATTAGAAAATCTTTTATAACATTGGAAAAAAAGAAACTTATCTTATTATTATGTTATTCTGGAAATTTATATCCCAATATCTAAATCTAATTAAAACACATAATAAAGATTGTGCGAACTTCATAAATTATAATCATGAATCCAAAATCACAGAAATAAAAAAATATGCGTAAAATACGAAAACTGTGCATAGAAATATCTGTAAATCTAATAAGTAGAGTACTTGTGCAAATAATATTTAAAGATAATGAGCCTAGAATCTAAAAATTCAAACAAAAATTCAAATTTCTTTCCACATAATAAATGTTTAAACATAAAAATATATTTAACAACAAATTTTGAAGTTAAAGTGTATATAATAATAAAAATTGCATACATATTAAAAAATTGAATTGATATTGATTTATATAATAAATTAACGTTGTAATAAGATGAAAATAAATTACAGGTGGAGACCGAGAGCACGAGAGAATTAGTAACCATGAAATGGGAAAACGGCTTCGTGGAAGTGTCCGCAAAGGAAAACCTAAATATCTCTCAAGTATTTAAAGAGCTTCTCATCCAAGCCAAGCTGAAGTATAATCTAAGCCCGGCGCTGCAACGTCGCCGTCGGCAGTCCTTGCCACCTCCACAGCATCTGAATTCGCGCAGCAGCAGCACTCACGTGCCATCGCCAGCTCAGCTTCAACATCTGCAACAGATTCGCGAACGTTCCGATTCTAAAAGGAATTCTTGCATTTTGTCGTAAAGTGAAATCTTTGCTGATATCGTCGTGATAAATTTCCCCTGACGATTCCACGTATACCGAATCGATTGGCGTCCAATCTGAGAATTATCAAGCGTGACAGATGACAGATGATTAAATGACCCGTATGAAGTTTTATTTATAGATACGATAAGCTATGGTTATCGATTATTTACGAGATTTCGATAATTCATACGACGCCACGAAAAAAACGTGATGATTCGGTATTTTGCCCATCAAATATGAGTCGCAAAATATTTAAACGAGTCTAAAAACGTGCATATGTTCGGAAAAGTTTTGCTCTGATATCATTATTTTTAAATATATATTCTACATAAATAATCAAAATTTAATAAAAAGAAGCATACTTCATGCTATATAAAAATATAAACTACTGAGAAATATAAAATATAAACTATAAATTACAGAGAATCTTTCTTTTAAATATATAGAATAATAAATATATATTACAGATTGTATATGATTAATTAAAAAATATTAAATCTTTTAGTACATCTATAATTTTTTTCATGTATATATATATATATTAAAATTAAAAAATTTTGAATTTTGAAATACGCTATTTCTCAGATTTTTGAATCTTTAGATCTGCAATATCGTCAGTAATTACATGAGTCACAGTTGGTTTGTTTAATTAAAGAAAATCATGTTGCAAAACTTTCTCTGATGTGTGCGAAAACAGGATCTTGTCTAATACACAAAGTAGTTTAGAAAATAATATTCTAAATATTTAATTAAAATATTAAAATGCAATGCTGTGTCCAGTTTTTTTGTTTAATCTATGTGAATACATTCGTCAATTTGATGGAAACACTATATATAAGACGTGAACAAAATGTAACAAGCTGATAGCAGTAATGTAAGTAACAAAAAAAGTCACAAGTCTCTATATAACGCTTCATTCAATTTTGTAATAACTATCCGCTCGGATAGTGAACAATTTTAAAGAGTCAATTTCTATTACGCTATCACGCAAACAGAGCGTTATTTATTTCTTCGAATGCGAAGAATATTTCATAAAACTGTAGATATACTAGATATTCTATTAGTAACTTTTGCAACTTACTGTAAGCAATTTCTCTACTTGCCGTAAATACGAGACAGATTGATAGCGATTATGAAGAAGACTTTAAAAAGATCGATTAAAGAAATTAAAGATGGTGCAAGATTAAAATACCCTTTTCATATTCTATAAACTAAAAATTAAGAATTCGTGAAATTTCTTGGGAGAAAATATTAACTTCCAATATGTAGAACATCAAAAATATAAGAGATGTTTTGTTATTATACACTTATATCTGCATTAAGATATATTAACAAGATTTTCTAATAAATAACTTCAAACCATCTTTCTCCATATTGTCTTTTGACTGCAATCGGAAGAATGATCTAAATGAACCAACAGTTATGCGTTCGTCTACATATATCGGATTTATATAAAGATAATAATAAAATAATTCGGAATTATATGTAATTAAATAATTTTATTATTACACATACATTTGAATATCATATTTCAGGGTTACTTCACACTGCCCGATCTTTTATTATCATGAATTATACGTATATATTGTAAAAAATCAAGGAGATATTACAAAACTTATCAACTTTCTATATAGTTATACATATATAATAAGAATTGGTTCTTATCTCCTTATTTTTTGTATGAATATATAAAATATATGTATATTTTGTTAGAACTTATCATATATATTGTCGCTAATACAAAATATTTACTTGCAATATCAGCAAAGTGATAACAGTAAAGAAGAAGAGAAAGAGAAAAAATGTCACAGTATTATACAAAGATTGATATAAACTTTCGCGTAATTTTACGACCAGTTCAATCAAATTCTTCTATTAATAATTGGAAAACAAACAAAGTATTCTATTTATAACGAGACATTATACGTTTCAAATACTTGTAGCCTCTCTGAGCATGCTAAATATATAAAATAACTACAAAATCTATATTGTCTCGAATTCATGTATTAAGCGTAAATCTTATGACATTCCATGTGTCGTTATAGTTATTATAACAACAAGACAGTTCTTCAGCTAATGTTCATACCAAAATTTCGAGAAGAAAGTTTAATGTAAATACTGTCCATATTGTACTTCACTTTCAAACTGTAAAAGCGAAGAACAATAGTAACACGTAGAATATAGGATCTTTTTAAATAGATATTCGATAAATATGTACGGAAATATATATGCATCTTATAAATTAAACATGGTTATTTAAATAAAAAATGTGAGAATCATTAGAGTAATCTGGTAGAGAGTTGATAAAATTAATATTTGTGTAATACATTTCTTTTTCAAATTCTCTAGACTATCATTACGGAGGTATAAAGAATGATTCTTTCGGGTTATTAATATTTAAATACATGTTAGATACATACAGATTTGTATTATGTGTTATTCTCTCTTTTCTGGTGTGTAATTATGTGGATTGTCTATTAAATATTATTTTTAACATTGTTTTATTATTAGGAACTTTTTAATTGTATTAATAAATTAATTATAATAAATGTATTACTAATTATAAATAGAGGTAGCAATTTCTTATCTTTAGTTTCTTTATTGAAAATTCTGAGTTATGAACTAAAAATCGCTGTAAAAATAAATGAGCAAGCTTTTGAAGCGACATTTAACTTTGCATGTACAAATTAAAAAGTAAGGATTTTTTATTTGCAAGATTTGTCTCACTACGTTTATGATTTTATTGCTAAATTTATTTATATTTTAACTATATTTTTTCAAAACATTAAATCTATCTATGTAAATAATACGAAATTGTAACGTTGATCTACACATACACATAATGCTACTTTTAAACTCACTTTGAATTTAATTTTATACAAATATATATGATTAAGTATTTTAATATAACTTTAGTATATAAATTATATGTATATTACACATATATATGTGTGTCACTGATTTCTTAGTGTATTATAAGAACTAATATATATAGTTTATATGTTTCAACTAGTCTAATTATTTACGTAGAAAATGATAATTTGAAAAAATTATTGTTTCAAGAAAATATTTCTCTGATTCTATTTTTGCTATTTCTTTTGACAAAATTTATTGCCAACACAAAGACGCGCTGATAATAAAAACAAAATTGTATATATAACATGAATATATTATTTTCTTATAAAGCATATTCTTCCATAAGCGCAGCTATGAAAAAAAAGAAACATAAATTAGAAAAATATATAAGTATATAATGTTTAAATGAATTATGTATGTGATCATAATCGATTTATTTTATAATATAATAATATATGTAACTGCAGCCTCCGTTGTCCGAATAAATTATATGGCAACAAATATTAAAGTTAAACATTTAACTTTGTATTATTGCAGATTAATAAATAAAATGTGTAATACTATAAGAAATAAGATCTGCTTTTTACAAGTTTCTTTTTTTCTGTAACAAAATCAAACTTTTCCATCGAATTGGACAAAATTAATGTTGGCTCTTATGCTATTTTCTTTTTGATTTTTTTGATTACTTGAACCAAGTCTCTAATTATTACAATTAATGTTGTTACATCGGATTGAGAGAGAGAAAGAAAGGAGGAGAGAGAGAGTGAGAGAGAGAGAGAGAGGGGAAGAGAGAGAAAGAGAGAGAGACTTAACGTTTTTTTATAAAAAAATATTATTTGATGAATTTCTCAGGATTCTGGATCTTTGGTCTTTTGGTTATGTCAAGGATGACATGGTTCTTGTGACATTTGATTGAAAATGTAGAACCTTGCAAGCTCCTCTTTTTATATCTGGCTTCTCTTTTATATTCGGGTTATTTTTCTGGTATGTACTTTGAGTTCGATTAGATTTTTTACAATATAATTATTTATTATGATGTACTATTACTACACAATAAAAAATTTTGTGTTAAATTTAACATATTTCACATGTCCCAATTTATCCATTCTAATTTTAATGTTGATTTAACAGAAGGCAAGTATGTAAATAAATAACACAAGTAATATGTTTAAAAATTAACACAAAAGTGTAACAATTAAACTTTATCTTAAAATAAAATTTATGTAATAAAGTTTATGAATTAAAGTTTAAATTAACATATTTATAATGTTAAATTTAATTAAAAGAAAATGTTATTCTTACATTTTTATGATAAATAACAGAAGAGATGTCGATTTAACATATGGAAACTGTTATAGAGAGAAAAATAACATAACTTATCTGTTCATTTTAACATATAACATATTTCATCAAAAATTCGTGCATTTACATATTAATTGTGTTGTTTTAACTCTTAGAAACGGTAAATATTAACTCAACGCAGAAATGTCAAAATAACGCAATGGTAATATGTTACATTAACATAAGAGTATGTTAAAAATTTAACACAAAAATTTTTACACGAGAAAGTTTTAACAGAAATACAAAATGTTTTTTACCGTGTACTATATACTATTTATTTAGATGTCTATTTGTTACCGGTTTTTTAATAAAATTTATTATTCGGATTAAATTTCAGATTGATTTGTTAATAAGAGATATTTATTATTGATTAGATATTATTGATTAAATTCGTTACTGAATGCTCAATAAGATTTGGTTAAACTTGTCATTAATTTCCTAATAAGATTTATATTCCAGATAATGATTGATTAAATTGATGATTATTTAATAAGATCTATTTCTTACTAACACTCTGTTGATTACAATAAACATTTAAAATATAAGTTACGCATCATTCACGCTTATCCGCTTCAAATCGCTTTTGCGAAATAACCGCGATACGTAAACTGGACAGTTATCGCGAAGGAAAGGACTCGTGGAGTCGCTAAGACATAATAATGTAAATTGTTAATCAATCAACATTTTTTAATCTAATTCTGTGCGGATAAATTATATAATTATAAATCACTTTATTTGATGAAATCTTGAGGTTTTTCAAGAAAAAAGAAAATATACTTATATATAATCTTGAAATATATATTTGAATATCCATTAATTTCATAACTTTTGCTATGAACAACTTGTTATATTAGTTAGAGATAATATTAATATGAATATTTTAGGTCTGTGTGTGAGGCCGTTATAATCCCTGTACCGCTCAATGACATTGAGAGCCAATATGATAATATTTATACAACAATTGTGGGAAAAAATATAGATATATTATTAGTAATAATTATTTCTAATAATATTAAGCAATTTATTATGTTGTATCCTAGATGAAAGAAAAGCTGAATCAATTGATAATAACACAATTTCAGTTCGACAAGAGAGAGAACAAAGGATTTTGCATAGGTGTAATATTTCTTGATAAATTGCCACGCGCGCACTCCTAATGTAACATTATATATATATATATATATATATATATATATATATATATAATATCCTTTGTATATTATATATATATATATAAGTACATTATTACGATATCAAAAGGTAAATAATTTATTATTTACATTTATACAATATTTTATCTCACATTTCTCTTTTTCAATTATTTAAAAATTTATATATTTTATAATCAATTACGTGAAATTTTCATATTTGTAAAGATACACACATATATATAGATATATAAATATACGCATATAAAAAATGTGTGTGTGTGTGGGTTGAAATAATATGTATAAATAATATGTATAAATATAAATTACACATACATGTATATTTATATATGTATATATTTTTACACGCACACATACATACAAATAGATATAAAAATTCCGCTCGCTTATAAAAATATTAAGATAAGATTATCAGAAAATTAAAAGTATTCAAATTTTATTGTATTTAAAAATAAAAATCTGTTTTCATATATTCTTATTTTTTGATTTTTATATTTCTAATCACACACTTTGTATGTTAAACTCTTTAATGCATTATTGTACACATTTGGAAAATATATTTATACAATTTATATATATATATATATATATATATATATATATAAGAATTTTATAACGTAAATAAAATATAATTATCATGCAATAAGACGTACGACATGCAATCATAAAATGCATTTTATTATGAATTAAAATAAAGATAAAAATAAAAATAAAGTAAATTTCGCGCGCTTCGATATAAATCTATTATCGCGATGTAATTACTAAAGTTATTAAAATTAATTATTTATTGTAATAAGCGAAATATGTCCCTGTATTAGTGATTACGTCCAGAAAAGGAATTCGATAGAGTATCTTGCTATTCAAATGTCTCCGCGTGAATAACAATAAAATCGAAAATATTTATCGTTCATCATACTGCACGAATAACCTTATATTTATGATTTATCGATGTTCTATGTATGTTTAAATCAAAGACAGAGTATCACAACTCGCGATAAAAAAATGACGTATTGCTAAGATGAAAATCCTAATATGAAATCGTCGAGCCTCGACATTTTTATTAAAACGCAATTACATTTAGAGTTTGAGTTTCAAAATGTTGAAAATCGCGATCATGACGAACTAGATCGATCTTTATAAATTAAATACTTGTTATGCAATAAATTCAATAATTGTTATGCAACCTGAAAAGCATTACGACCATTAAGAGGAAGCGAAACATGTTTTCAAAATTTTTGACAAATTTCTTTCCGTACTCGACTACTAGAGATCTTGTTTATCGACATGCAGTGGTGACTACATGTATGACTGCATGTACTAAAAACGCATTCGGATTTCTATCGATCGATCAAATTTAAAATTATTTCATCTAACATTTTTTTTAATTAGCACAAATTGTATTAAAATAAATTATTAATATGTACGTGATTAATGGGGAAACAATCAGCGTTTGAAAAGAATAGATTGATTATGTTGACTATACAGACATGCAACAACAAACTTAGCAAATGATTTTACTCGCAAAAATTAGCATTCTAATTAGAAATAAATTCAGATCAACTGCTTTCACAATAAGGTACTACGCTGTTGAAAATTAAAGTACAATTTTAGAAATACAAATTATGCAATAATTCATATTGATGATATGCAACTTTGTTGTTTGGCGATTAGAAAAGATTTAATTTTTTCTCTGGTCGAAAACTAAGCAGATAATTAAAAAACTGATGATAAAGTACACAATAAAATGTGACAAGAAAAGATTTTCTAGATATTTTGATAGAATTTTTATTTCGACTTAGGATACAATCGTACGTTGTCCTTTTGAAAAATTAAAATTTTAATTCTAAAGTTTTATTCTACTTTTTCTTTTTTATTTACTCGAGTAAAACTTGTACATTCACCTTCTCTTTTGATCATTTTTGTCTACATATATATGTATTGTCTCTGTCTTATATGTATATATAAAATTTTTATAATTTTTACACATTTATATATTTATATTATATGAAATGTAAAAAATATACTGTTACATATATTTATAATGTGTGTTATCTCATACACAATAAATAACTTACATACATGATATAAAACAAAATAATAATATTTATTAATTATACTATCTAATTATACTATATTATACTATGCAATAATACTTATACTATATAATAATATTTAATTATATAGTATAATAAATAGTATAATTAATAAATATTATTATTTTGTTTTACATCTTGTATGTAAGTTATTTATTTTGCCAAAGCAAATCCCATTCGGTCATTCTCCATATCAAACTCGGTGTAATATTTCCCGACGAATGCATCGCCGAGAATCCAATCGAGTGTTTTCAAATTCCGTCCCAAAAATCCGCTTAAACATATTGTGGTGTTCGTCCTGTGATATACGTACTGTAGAAATATATATAATGTAAATTTCCTATACTTATTAAATAATTTAAACAAATTTATCTATATTATACTTACCCGAACGATGTAATCTTTAGCAGCAATCCGAAATATTTTTCCCCCCCAAAAAAAGTAGATTGAAGGTAATTCACAAATTCTACAACATTCCACCTTTAAGTAAAAGATAAAATCAAATTAATAATTAATATTATTTAATAAATATACTTAATATTTATTTTTACCGATATATCTTCGTTCAATGATTTTTTTATCAAAGCCTATGTGTTTTGTAAAAGACATGATCGTTTACTTACTCTATCCTCTCCATTTACATTAATAGTGCCAAGAAGTTTATTAATTTTTTTGATATCTGATATTGGTCCAATTGTTAGACCAGAAGCAGTGCCAACGATGGCTTGGCAACTATTGGTGCACAGATTGTTTCTATTTATTCGAATCCTACAAAGCGATAACCTTAACATCAATTTGTTAGGACATGATTACATAATTAAAAAAATAACGTACTTATCTATGGTAAATTGCCATTTTCCTTTGTGAGTAACAGGAACATATGTTAATTCGTCTTTATAAAGACTACGATCGGAACCACCCAATATTAATTCACCACTATTTAATGGGTCCAATGAGTCTCTGCACAAATTGTACAATTTTATATCATAATATGTATGTATGTGTGTGATAATTAAGATTATATTAAATATAATATACAAATATAAATATTATTTTAAATAAAAAAAATTATAATAATATGTAAATGATAAATTTAATTTATGTGTTAATATTAAATAAATAATAATATATATACAAATATAATTATACGTACATATTTATTAAAAACTTTTATTTAGAAATATGCATTGTTCATAAGTAAAGAAGATATGTACCTATTTAGATAATAACTGAAAATGGGTGATGTCACTAGTCCTTGATTAATCATATTGTGGAAGACGGATGTATTGTACTCCAGGCCCAAGACACCATCAAACATTGCCGATTGAAATATAGTTTCGTTTGACATATCAGTCACTTCTATAAATGTCTGATTGTCAACATTAAGACCGGCAACCTATAATAAAATTAATGTTGAAATATTTCGTCATCGCTGCACGAGAAAACAATATGATTGCTTAAGAAACGTTTAAACTATGATTATAATTGTAACTCAATTGGATTGTTCCTTCAATGATGACTTACATTCACTCTATCAATAGATAGAAATCCAGTTATATTTAAAAGTGGGAATTGTCTGCAGATCCATGTAGGATTCGTTTTAATAAATGTACTGGAATCTTTACTATTATATCCGTGACGGAAATCTGTAAAGCATATTCAGTAATATCACAAATTAATAATATTAGAAAAAGTTTCAAAATAGAGATATTGTCTTATTGATCTACAATAAATATGCAAATTTCTTTTATAAATCATTATATATGTGTTTGTCAAGCTAACTCTTGAATCATCTTTGTCAATGTTTGTGTTTTCAGAGATTAAACGTGATAAATTGTTTAAATATATGCATGCAAATTCCAAAATATATAATATTTACACTATATAAAATATAAAATATTAAATTTCATTGTCTTCAACTATTTAAATATTCCAAGACTATAATTGAAAAAATAATATAATCATAGATAGAATATATACATACATACATATATATATATATATATATATATATATATATATATATATATAATTGTTATTGCGTACATGTATATACAAACAAATTACTTACAACAAAAGTTAACGTCGCATGATTGCGACGGCACCCATAAGTCTGCCGTCAGAGTATCGAATATTATCTTAAATGTCTTCGGCGGAGTTCCAATGGTAATATTGCCGTAGTATTCGGCATAAAGATAATCGGATACACATGATGTATTCACATAATCAGGTGATAGTAAAAGTTTCTTTAAGTTGTCATCGACGTACTCCCAAGATTTTCGAATGGAGAAACTTGTCTTGTACAATGAAATCCTTGAAATAACAGAAAGGACATTTTATAATACACACATACACACACACACACACACACACACACACACACACACAGACAGACACACGCACGCACGCACGCACGCACGCACGAATGCACATATGCACGCATGTACGCACACGCACACGCACACGCACACGCACACGCACACGCACACGTATGTATGTGTGTGTAAATTTGCAAACATATATGTATAAAATGAACATTTACATTTGATATAACTAGCAAATATTTCCAGAATAAATATAAGTTATATATATATATATATATATATATATATATATATATATATTGTGACTGTTATTTTTAATTATAGCTGAAGTTAATATATGGCCGGTGATGTTGGCCCATGGCACATCTTCGGCGCGATCCTCTTAAAACAAACAATGATTCTCAAGACAAATGACGAATTCCGAATATGAAATCTCGAAATTCAAATCAAGTTATTTAGCGGCAGCGAATTCGAATGCAAAAATAAAACTTTGATTGTCTTAATCGAGTGTAGTGACTTCCAGGATATGAAAAATAACGTGAAAATAACGTGAAATAAATACGAATATTTATTTCACGGCAGGACGAATCGGTCTCAGAGAGAAGCTAACCACCGCAAATCATTCAAATTCGAAAACAATTAAACAAGCCGAACGGTCGACACACAAAGAAATATAAACAACGGTACACGAAACGAACTCTAAATTTCTAATCAAAATCATGAGCAGCCAGAACATTCCTTCAAGCCAACCGCGTTAAATCACTTGGAAATTCCACGAATATTTTCTCCAAATATAATTGAAATAATAACAAGCTTAATATTATAATAACACAATATATCCTGAAAGAAGCAAGATTAATACACAAATATATACATCCAATAAACAATGGCAGTAATTAATACAAAAAAATAGATAAGATAATAATCATTCACAATAATGTATAATTCCATAATATTTAATAGCACAACAATAAAAAATGCACAGCAAAATTAGGCAGCAATAAGTGCGCCAGCATATAAAAAGAGTTGCGAGGGTGCGCAAGCATAAATCGAGAACACTTAAATATTCCTGATAAATCGATAAAAGAATCCCGAAAGTAAAGATATTCTTAGTTGTTTCCTGCTGATATTAAATTCATAAGGAAATACTCGAAAACAAAGTTAGATTATTACAACAATAAAAGAAAAGATATTAATGTGAATGTTAAGAAAATTTAGTAAAGTTCCGTGAAAATTAAATTACATGAATTAAATCTTTAAAATATTCGATATTATTCCAAAAGAAAAGTAAAGATTTTGACTTTGTTAATTTTAATGACTCTTCTATTAATTACTATGAGAGGTTCTTCATAAGGCAGCAAAAAAAAAATATTTTAACGAAAGAAATCTTTTTAATTAAATTAATAATAGTCTAGAAGTCTCTAGCGAAAAGAACAAATAATAACTTAAATTACTTTCGCTTTCACAAATATCGACAGTTATTTTCAAAATCTTATTTGCTCGCGACCCTCAAATACAAAAGCAACACATGTTTAATTATAAGACACAAAGAGATATCACAACATTCAAAATTCGATATATCACAATAGACCTTGTTATTCTCGAGTTCCTTCTTCCTTGTTCCAACGAATTTTCAACGGAAAAATTTTAAAATATGTATGATCTTCATATTGCATATACTTCTCTAAAGTAATATTTAATTTATAACCTAGTTACAAATAAAATTATTGTAACTTAACGAACATTGAGTTTTAGTTAACGAAATACTTTTCATGTAATTTTAGACGAAGAGATAATTTAAAAACAAGTAACTGTATCAAGTATTAAAAGAGTAAGATATAGAGAATGTCAAGAAAACAGATAACATAAATCAACTCGTTATACCTATATTTGAGCTGCTAACGCGTAAAAAAATAGTGAACAATTAGGCGTTTTGATCACCTTCAATGAAAATATTTATGTCAACGGTCGTCGTTTAAATGTAGATAAAAGCAAGATTGGACAAAAGCGAACGTTATAGAAGAACAAAGAGTCACTACTTTAAAAATATTCTGTTTTATCTACTTTTATGATTAATAAATAAACGTTTTGACCAAAGAAATTTCATCCAATTTGTATCGCAGCATCGCATTTGCACAAATCCCGCTTTTAATTCAAGAAATCGTATGCTGTTACGAGGAAAAGAAGCAATTTCTATATTCATCTCGATATTTATCATGCCAATATATAATACAATAAAATACTGACCTGTACAATTTAGCGTCGGATGATATTATAAAGAGCGCCGCAACCACTATCACAAAAAGGCGAATATTTTTCATTTTATTTAGAAAAATATTTATTACTAAAGTCTCGATTCGTGAAAATTTGAACGTTCTTTCGACACTTTATGACCAGAGACACAGAAAAATAAAGTGTTGTCGCTCGTTACTAACACTCTTCTGAACGCTGCATCGGTATTCGAGAGAGTGTTTATATACATTCGCGTATGCCCCTACGTTCCTACGAATCCTTGAACGGGGAGAAAATGCGCGAAACATTCGAAAAACCCTGATAAATTTCCATCGATCAATTTAATTTAAATGTATCATATTTTGCATGCTTATATCCTTTAATTAAGTTTATTTACATAAATTAACTAATAATAAAAACAATTCTTTTGAAAGTATACATTGTCTACATTGATTAGATAGTCAAACATATATTAACATTAATCTTATAATAAATAATTTGCAAAAAGTAGTAATTAATTAAGCGACATTTTTGTATTCCATTTTGTGCGCATAAATTATATAGTTATAAATCTTATTTGATTCTTGAAGTCGTTAAAAAGAAAAAAGGATATATATATATATATATATATATATATATATATATATCCTTTTTTCTTTTTAACGACTTCAGGATCAAGAATATATATATATATATATAATCTTGAATTATATATTTGATCCATTCCTCCATCCATAACTTCATAAGAAATATTAAATCTTTTACTACATCTATAATTTTTTTCATATATATATATATATATATATATATATTAAAATTTAAAAATTTTGTATTTTGAAATACGCTATTTCTCAGATTTTTGAATCTTTAGATCTGCAATATCATGTTTTGCATGCTTATATCCTTTAATTAAATTTATTTATGTAAATTAATAATATTTATAATATTATTAATATATTTATAATATATTTATAATATATTTATAATATATTTATATTATTAATATTCTATAAATAACTAATAATAAAAACAATTCTTTTAAAAGTATACATTGTTTACATTGATTAGATAGTCAATCATATATCAACATTAATCTTATAATAAATAATTTGCAAAAAGTAGTAATTAATTAATCGACATTTTTGTATCCCACTTTGTGCGCATAAATTATATAGTTATAAATCTTATTTGATGAATTCTTGAAGTCGTTAAAAAGAAAAAAGGATATATATATGTATATATATATATATATATATATATATATATAATCTTGAATTATATATTTGATCCATTAACTTCATAACTTATATATATCAGTTATATATATTTCAAGATTATATATGTATCCTTTTTTATTATTATTCAAGCAAATATTTAAATTCATAATAGAATTATTTGTCATATGTTATTATGTTATTATTAATTGTTATATAATTATTATTATATACATAGAAAGTAGTATTATACATTTAAATGAAATTATGAAAGATTAATAATAAATAAAATTAATGCATATAATATGTAAAAATAGGTATTTTGTTTTGAAAGATTCATATATAACAATAGTGTATGTACACTCCGCGACAATGATTCGTTCCACGTCCCTCTCGCGGGGCAAGGGGAGCGTAGCCTCTGACCAATCAGCCACTGCCACGCTGCCAGCTGATTGGTCACTTCTACGCTCCCCTTGCCCCACGAGAGAGGGGCCGCGGAACGAATCGTCGCGCAGTGTACGCTATTATAACATTATATCCATTACGAAATGATATAAAATGCCAAAATCAATTTAATTTGACAAGCAAATTTTTGTGTAGAATTAGTTGGAAAACATTTTAAATATATGTTTTAATAAATTTAAAATAAATGTTGTATACAAATATATCGTAATATATGTATAGTAAAAATATAATGTTATAATAGAAATAAAATTAACAAATTAATAAATAGATAAAGAAATTAGGCTCTGTAATGTATTAAACAACAATTCGAGAAAAGAGCGATTAAGAGCAACCGCGGATGGTAATGCGTAAAATTTTTAAAGATTAGTAATTCGCGAAAATTAAAACGCGTGAAAGACATATGCATATATTTTACTTGGTGCATTAACCAAGAAATAGATTCTCAATTCGAGAATACTATAAGACCTCTCTTTACCCCCCTGAAGATTTTTCGTGAAATTTCGGTTGGAAGACTTTATCCACAAGACTCATGACAATGCCAATCTTATGGGCAATGGAATAGTAGGAAAAGAAATTAAGAAATCTTTCCGAGAAAGTAAGTTTACGAAACCAATCAAATTCTAAACGATTTTCATTCACAATAAGTAATGTGTCCAAAAAATTAATAGTATTATTGTCCGAAAATTCTATCGTAAATTGTAATCTTTTATGAACAGAATTAAGAACTTTTAAAATAGAAGAGAAATGTAAAGAAGGAGCCGCCAATATGATATCGTCGACATATCTAAAATAAAAAGGAGTGACTGGGAGAAAAGAAATGGTTCTATCTTCACATTGAAATGTTTTATATAATAAATTTTGATGTGTTTTGTACACGTAAGAATTAAAAAAAGATTTTTTTACAAGCAGAAATTATTAGCTGCCTTTGTGATGCAACTTTAAAAAGTCCTATAACTAAAAAGTTTTAAGACGTTACTAAATTTAAAATTTTTTAAAAATTGTAAAATAAACCAAGAAAATCGCCAATTAAAAGTCGAAAAGTCTGGATAAAGAGAAATAAAAGTGAACAACCAAAGAGAGAGCGTTGTAAATTTAAAATAATTGTCTTACATGAGTTTCAGGAAAACTTTACTAATATTACGTTCAGATTTAAGAAAAGAGATAAGTTAATGAAAGAACGTTATTGTGCTACGTGAGACATGACATGTGAGGTACCGCCGTTAGAAATCTGAGAATTCTCAAATCGTCGGAGTTCACCGGAGTGAAGGATTGTAGTATAGCATTTTTATTATAGATTCTTGTAGTTTGTTTTTATTATATGTTATGGAATACAATATACAGGGTGTCTGAAAACTTTTCGCAGTCCCGAAATGTGAAGGTGAAAGGAGCGATGAGTGTGTAGGCGCGCGACAAAAGCTCCTCTTTGCAATCATCACTTCGCCGTACTTCTAGCTACGCGCATTGGCCGAACTTCTTTTATTAATTTTTCGTTAATTATTACGAATATCGCAAAACAATAGGAGATCTTCCTTCTTAATTTGAGCCAATTTACTTTCACACTTCAAAACTGCGAAATGTTTTCAGATATCCTGTACATACTCTTTATTGTACAGAGCGTATAAAAAGTCTGGAAACGGTCAATTATCTTCGAAAATAGTGGACCTGTGGAAAAATATTACAAACAAACGTTGTAGTGTTTTAAATGACGCATTACATAATAATATTATTATGACCTTAAAGATTGTCGTCAAAATCACGTAAAGGACACCTTCAATTTCTTAACTCCTTTAATTTCTAAAACTCCCTATTTTTTATTACATATTTTTATAGCTTATTTTAAGATTTCTTAATTTTACGTAAACATAAAATGTTTAGTAAAATATTCATTTTTCGATTATCTTACCTTAATATTTTTATGTACAAAATAATGAGAGGAATCAATTGGTGTAAAGAAAAAATATAGTTGTCTTTAAGAAAAAATATGTAATTGTTAACTGCAAATTACATATTTTTCTTTAGAAATAATCCGCCTTCAGCATATAATTTCCAGTACATAATTTATCACTTCTTCATTAGTCTTGGCAGTGTAAGGTTGTTCACCCAATGATGTAATTTCCCACATTAATACCCCAAATGATCAAACATCGCTTAGAGAAGTAAATATTTCGATCACCAAAGATTCCATCCAACGAATAGGAAACTAACTTTCTCTTTTCTGAAACATGATTCAAACTAAAACCTAATTTTCTGATTCAAATTGTTCATTTATAGAATGTGTGCAAAATGAAAAATGTTCATTCATCTCTTGCTTTATATAAATGAAAATAATTTATATTTAATGTTATTCAAAAAGAAAATGTGCAATATTATTATGATAAAAAATAAAAAGCAGTTTTAAGTGAATTCGCTTTTTTAATAATTAATTTTTTTAAATAATTATATTTACCTTGCGATAATAATCACCCTTGTGAATATCTTTAGCTAGATAAAATCTTCAATTTTGATGACACAATCCTCGCGATTTCTCGAAGATACTAAGCAATTACGACACGCTAGATCTCTATGTATGAAACGCATTTCTTCTAAGTAGCAACAGTCTCGCGCAATATCTTCGCACATGGCGAGCAAATCCTGCAAACGCAGAGCATGCGAATCTGACGTTTGCAAATTTCGACAATCTCTTAAATATTTTAACAGATTACCAGTTTTCATCAATTCCAACACTAGTAACATCGAATCTTCATCTAAACAAACGGCCAACAATCTTAATACATGTTTATGTCGAAAATGATTCATAAGTCTGACTTCTTCTAAAAATGTCTTCTTCTCATCAGAAGAAACATCTTTTCGAAGCATTTTTATTGTAGCGGATATCTCTGTGCCCAATCTTTCTTACCGTAAGTTCTTCACATTTCCTTGAAACATCTGCGAAATAGTTTACACAAATTTGCTTTCGTATTTTATTAAAAAATATATAGTTTAATATCAAGTAACGTTATATCTTACTTTATATTAAATAATTCAACGAAAAATACATAATAAAGTGCATGTATGTTGTCTCGTCTAAATTTTATATTATAATCTATAATAAAAATTCATGTAATTTATGTCTTTATTAGGAAACGTATCTGTGTTGTTGATCTAGAAATTAATATCGTGAAAAAATTAATTTCTTCGAATGCACAGCTAACAAGAGGTTTTGTTAGTGTAATTTGTTTACGTTTGATTTCGATGATTGCATATTTATCCAGATTATAATGTAACATAGAACTATAAATCTTATTGAATTGAGTGTTTCAACAAGCTACTTCATGTACAATAGCTATGTTATAATCTGAAGAACTATAACTTTATTTTATTGTTAATATAAAACGCGATAGTTCAGCGAACGTTCAGCGAATCACACGCGAATTCGCCGAAAACGGGAAAGTGCAAGCAAAGTTTCAACTTTTGAAACGCCTTTGCTTAACAATAAGATTTGATCGTCACAAAAGTTCATCATGACCTTATATAATCATGTTGCTAGGCGATCTTCTCTCAA